CACCAGTAGACATGGATATATATATTAATGATATCTGCTAAGATTGGAGCAATTTCATTGGTGCATTCTTTAATCAGATCAACTAGTATTTCATCGGCACCCGTAGACTTCTTATTTTTCAAGATTTTGATTATTTCTTTCATGTCGTTAAGTGACCGGTATGATGAACATTGATGAATTTGCATTCATATCAGTAGTACAAGTTGAAGAGTTGTTTGAACCAGAATGCTCCTCGATCGTGCCCTTGATTATAGTAGACATGTAGGTCCCAAATATGTCAACGACTTCCTCAAGATTAGTGACCGTTTGGTCATTACGGGGTAATTCATAGGTTTGCCTTGATTGGTTTTTTGATCTTCCCTTCATGTCATTTATCAGTTTTGTTGTCAGATTTTGATATAATATCATGCACTATGATAGTTTTGTTTTTCCAATTTGATGATATGCTCTTTTTTAAAAATGTTCATATTGGTTGTTTAAATTTTCGTCTTGTATTCTTTTTCGCAGCCAGTTCGTTTCCTCAAGTTTTTTCAAGTCATATTTAGGTTCTTTGGAGAATGATACTTTGTTGAATTGAATTTCATTTTCTTTTTTGGGAATGCTACATTGACACCATTTCAAGTGACGCAGGGAGTGTGTGATTTGAAATGAACATATTCTAATTTATTTTTTTTATCGTCCTAGTATGAATGAAAACATTCAAAATTATATTTACTGGTAGTTTTTTGGTATAGGGCTCACGACGATGTCGTTTCAAAAAATCAGTGGTCTTCCCCAATGACAAAGTATAGGTATTCATTTGTGTACTGGTCGATAGGTCGATTAATAATAATAATAATAATAATAATAGTTTATTGGTATAAAAAAATGTGTAAATACAATTCCATTTAGATGACGGCGATAACAATGTTTTCACAAATAAACAGAAAACCACAAAGTCAAAGACTGTCTGTGTTGTGAGTGTAGCCTATGTTTAAAATTAGTATATAAATATTGAGTGAAGCGAATAAAAAATATGTTTAATTTCAAAATTAAGATTCTCTAACATGACTGGATTTGGTAAAGAACACATGTCCAGTATACAAGCAACAAGCAGACAAATCGGTTACCAAATATGAAAATGTAAAATACAAAACACATACAATTTGAAACAGCTTTTTTACATACAAGTACAGGAAAATATATAAAAATAATATAATGAAGGCAATTGAAGTTTGATAAAATACACATGCCTAGTACAACCAACATAGTGGTCAATAAATATGAAAAATGAAAATTACAAAATGAACATGCAATTCAACATATAGAAAATATTTAAGGAGAAATTGAAGGAAGACATTAAACTAGTGAGCTGAGATGGAATGATATCTGATTACACCGTTACACCAGCCTCCACGAGCTCATGAACAGTAAGTCTGTTTGAATTAAGTAAATATTTTTTTAGCTTTTTCTTCTTCATGAGTTCCAGATGAAATAATAATGTTGAGGAGATTTAGCGGCAAAACCTCTGATTCGGCAACACTGTCGGGCGCGTCGCCAAGCGTCTGAATAGAAGGTGCGCGATGCGCGGCGGCCGTCGTGACGCCTGTAGCCGCGTGCAGCGTGTGCGCTTCCCCCCCTCCTCTCCCCCTCTCGTGCCCCAAGACCCCCACAACGCCAGCCGTGCTCCTGGTGCACACGTGCCCAAACCTATCTTTAGATCATGGCCCCTCACTTACATGCAGAGAGTTTTTTTTTCTACATGGGATATGGTTCCGTTGATCAACCGAGGTTACCGATGCTTTCAGGGCCGGTACCTATAATTTTGACAGCGGTTATCTACTGGTCACTACGGTTGTGGTTCATATACCTACGGAATGCCAGTTATTTGTCAAATCATAGTTTTGATCATTCTGGTGCACAGTAAGCACGAGCAAAGGATGTAATGTCCTGAAATAGAAAAGAACGTCATTAATTTACCCCTATAAACGAATCCATCGGAACTTAACGCAATAGTTGAAATGAGAATATTGTTCTTCGTTGTAAATTGTAATTCGAAGAATCAAACCAAGAAATAAATCACGTCAACGTCAACTCAAACTTACCGAACCTACCAGAGGAAATTCACGGTTGTTCAGGAGACACTGAAATCTACCGCTTTTTCAGCAACAGCAACCGAGTTCCGTAAATAACCTTTTTCTGCAACCGACACAAAAGTCGTCCATTTTGATACCAAAATTAGCTCTTAAATTGACGTTTCTATTACTGACACAAAAATAGGTTAGGTATGTTGCTAGGCAACATATTTAGTTCCTAGGAGCCAAAGTTGAATTTTAGTTCCTAGGAGCTAAAGTTCAACTTTAGCTCTTAGGAACTAAGAAGGATCTACTGGACGTCATCCAGAATAAACAACATTGTGACGGTTGGTTATTTGGGTTGAGACGCATACCTGATTTGTTTCCGATTTCAGCAGATTTGGCATTTCATACCCATGCTGGAGATATAAATACACCTTATTTTATTATAGTTTAGTATTGGAATTATGAACATTTCAGTTGAGTATTTTTGTTTTGATCAGGGAAGCCTTCGAAATTCAAATACTTGCTTGATCTGTATTTCATTCGTTATTCTCGGGATGGATAACATGTTTTTGAATAATCACGGCAAGCAATAGTTTTTTTGTCTCAAACAACGATATTGTTTAGCTTTATTTGATTATCAAGTCAAACACAGTGTAGTATGGAGAGGAATAAATAATCACTACTGTCATTGTTGATATGCTCACTAACCTAACATTTTCCACGTCTTGTTCCTATAGCTGGCACTGGCGCGATATTTGCCATTAGAGCACCTGGTCCATACAAAAATATGTCACTCTGTGGTTGTATTTATATTAAAACCACAATTCGAACATCCTAGAAAACCTAACCTGCTGTTAATGCAGGTAGAATATTCTCACCACATGGATTATTTGTCAATATTTGTTGCATTGCATACATATGGCACGGCATTGGTGGTTACTTCACATGTTTATTTGAATTAATTGTTTCGGTTGCAGAAAAAATAGCATGTTTCATTCGGATCAAAAGTGACTTTGTTCGACTCGCAAATTTTGCTTTCGCTCGGCTTCGCTAAACGCTCCGCCTCGCAAATGCAAAATTCGCTTGTCAGACAAAGTGTCACTTTTGATCCTAATAAAACAATCTACTATTTTACAGGAACCAACAGAACATTTCGTATTTACGAAACGGAAAACTACTGACCGAAATAACCAAGTTGATTTACGGAACATACCCACTAGTAGTGTATATAAGCTCTGATCATATTTTTTTTCAAATTTTAACAGGAACGCCAAAAACTATTTTTTTTTTGTCAAATGGCACCATATGTTCGTTTTGTTTTTGTTCTAAATTTTTTACCGAATAGAATAATGATGACAAGTTGACTTTTGGAAATAAAAATAAATGCTTAAAAAGAAATGAATACTGTCTGTGGGTTAATCGAGGAGGTGGTACATTCATTTTACTATTTTTCTTTTAAAGTTGTGTTCATATAGTTTGACACTTCTCAGTGAGAGCACAACTTTTGAGGAAAAATAGTTTTGCATTTTTATGTTGAAAACGGAAGCAGATTCGTTCCCGAAACTTCCAAAGATAAGTAAATATACGAAATTTTTTCAATATATCTATATTTCTTCTCTTCAAACATTTTTTCAAACAAAGTGTCACTGACAAGCTATTGGATTTTTCTTTTAGGCTTACTGTTAGAAAAATACTCATATTTTTATTTCATAGAAACGAGGAGAGAAAATGCCAAAAAAGCAAGTAAAATAAATAGAAATAATTATTTTCATAAAATTTTGATTTGTATCATTGAAAGTGGTAGTAAATGTCAATAAACTGGACGTCAACGTTACATTTGTCATATATTTCGACACCATATATAATTTCAGAGAATGATGTGCGTGAATTGTGTGTTTAACATTGCGACGGCCTGTTTGAATATTTTAATTTTTTTACAACACGCTTTGAAAATCACATGTGGGGTTGAAATATCTGACAAATGAAACACAGATATTCATTTCAGTGATATTTTCTGTCACTGTAATTTGAAAAAATAGAGTCTTCTCATAATGTCTATAATGGCTGAATTCATCTGCTTTTTTGTTTTCCAAAATCGGATAATTTATAGGCGTTTATAGTCGGTCAGCCTGTATGAAGATTGCTTTAATAAATAGTTACCTACTCAATATTGGATAAAAAATGTTGAAAAAAATATGTATCTTGAAATAATTATTATTATACGATCGAATGTGGGTCGCGGATGGATGGCTATAAGAACATACACAGATTTTTCTGGTATCCAAAATACCTACATTTTACTTATTCATGAGGTTCGCTAGGGGGGGGGGCATTTTCCCCACGCCGCCCTCCTGGATATGCCCCTGAGTTACCCTGTAAGGTAACTCTCAATAATTATGACTTTGTTGAAGCTATTGTCGAAATATCATAGGAGTTAAAGTTCAACTTTAGCTCCTAGGAACTAAAAGTGTTGCCTTCAATTCAAGAGTTAATTTTGGTATTAAAATGGACGATTTTTGTGTCGGTGGCAGATGAAATCAATTTGAAGACAGAAATATATTCACAATGTGCATTTCTACATTACACATCGACTATAGCGCTGTCATTAGCATTTCACTCTGAGAGTAAAGTAGAACAAATGAGAAAATTTTTCTTAGATCAGCACTCACCAATTTGGATTGTATTTCGTAAAATTACTAATATATGAAGTAAAAACTTCTTAAAATCAGTATAACAACTGTTTAAAAATACTTGATGCATGAGCGGTGGACCATTTCAGGCAGGAGGCCATCATAGGCAGGGGGTCATCATAGGCAAGAGGCCGTCATAGGCACATTTCCCCTATTTCACAAATTGTACATACAGGGATCCACCCTGTGAAATATTTAGCAATATACCTTATATGATATGAATATTATAATATTCTGTTTTTTTTTTCAGAATCCTGAAGACAGTAGTCGTTTCCGTATTAATTGAGGTAAGTGTATAACGTTTAACATGTTCTGTATATATACTGCGTATTTCAACCAGTTAAGTAACTTTTTCACCTCGAATATCTTCTAAGATACCCATTTTGATGTTTTTGAAGAATCCATGAGTTGGGGTCGCATTTTGACATTTTAACATTCTATACCCCCTTAAAATTATCAATTGGCAAGGGAGGGTCGGCTGATATATACATAATAATTGTCACCGTTTAAATATTTTGTTTTGTTGATTTCACTATTGGAACTTCTCATACCCGAGGAAGGAAATTTATTAGAATCTAGGCATGTTTTTTCATTTTAGTATAATTATGAGTATACAGCCCGTCTCATATTGAAACTCCCAAATTCTTCATCACCCCAATAATTATTGATCATGCGACTCCAACAACCAAATTTGTATTCGAATAAAATACAACAATTTGATGATTTTGTCCGGAATTAAATTGTTGTGGACAGTGTCGTGCGGTTTTATTGAATTAAATCTCGCGTAAAAGAGGAAGCTGAAAATAGGTATATAATTGTATTTCTGCCTGTTGATATCATACCTACATGGTGTTCAGAAAAGATGTTGCCAAACTTGCGAAGGTAATATACAGGGTGTTCCGAAAATAGCCTGCCAAACTACACCAGCGGCTTCTATATACGATCAAAAATAGGAAGAAAAGATTCAATGAACATGAGGCGAGATATGTCTACTAAGGGAGCTCTGGCCCCCTGAAAGGGGGCTCCTGAAGATTGTATTTCTTGAGAATTTCCTATACTCCATCATGTGATGAAAAGAAGTAATTTTGGTACAAGCACTGAACATTCCATTCCCAATGCAGTGAAGATAAAATCATTTCCAAATTTCACTCAGGAGTGTATAATACAGGGTAGGACTACATTAAATTTTGAATTGACTCGGCCGTTACTTGATGGAAATCCATAGCGAATGTTAAAACTTCACAAACGATGAGATTGCCACAACATTTTTAAACACACATATTTCGCTAACACAGTACACGAAAAAAAAAGGAATCGTTGAATCAAGCAAAATTTAATTGAATGGAGCAAATAAAAGTGTCATATATGCACGACAAAATATAATCTTGAAATGAGTAAATCTATATCTTGTTTCAGAGCGAATTTGAAGTTTGATGACACAAGTAAATATGCGAGTAAATATGTCTTGCATGAACTCTGGATCTTCTTCAATCAAGTACATCCATGAATTGTTCATGAAGAGATATTGAATTAATTGGCTCGAATTGGTTGATCCAAAGAAATATTTGGTTGATTCAATGAAATATTTGGTTGATTCAATGAAATATTTGGTTAATTCAATGAGATATTTTGTTGATTCAAGAGGAACTATATATCCATTCGACAAATCGTTTTATTGAACCAAATTCAATATTCGAGGCAGGCATAGACGAGGCGAAATGATCGTCATCGAGGCGAAAATTCAATTTGATCGTTGCTCTATTCAAGCAAATGATCCGTTCAAAACGAGTTCATGCTTGAATAGAGTTAAATTTTCGCCTGTAGATGGCGATCATTTCGCCTCGTCTATGCCTGCCTCGAATTCATAATATACGTGAAGCCTGATTCTTCGTGTTTGAATTATCAGCTGGATAAATCGATCTTGATGATTAGCAATCCGAAACAGTTTTGCATTAGCTGAAGAGAAGATCTGGAGATCTATGCTAGAAATCGACTAGTTTCCTAGTTAAGTTCAATCTATTGATGGGAAATTTCAGAAAATTCCCGAATTGATACTGAATTTGGTTCAACAAAACAATTTGTCGACTGGAATAACTTAATTCAAACTTCAAATACGCTCTGAAACAAGATATAGATTTACTCATTTCAAGATTATATATTTTTGTCGTGCATATGACACTTTTATTTGCTTCATTCAATTGAATTTTACTTGCTTCAACAATTCTTTTTTTTCCGTGATGATTCAAAATGATTGAGTTTTATTCCTTTATTTTCTACGTGTAGAACTTCGAAATTATCATGAAAACTATGGTTTTCTTCTAATATATGGTTGGCGTATGTTGAATTTGTTTATTTTTTGGAAAAATTCGAAAGATCAGGGGTATACAAATTCAACTGTGGATCTTGTCCTAAGGTATATATCGGTCAGACAGGTCGTACGTTCAATCAGCGCATTCAGGAACATGAGATGAATGTTTTTTTAAAGAAAACAAATTCGACTATTATCTAGTAGTTACTACTTTACTCCACTTTGAGAAACCATGGACTTCTCCCAAAAATTAATTTTCAAATTTTTTCAAATATTTGACTCAGTTCACTAAGAAAGCTTAATATGTTCCAAGAACAATATTTCAGGAAGTCATTTGTATTGTGTCTCATTTTTTCATGTTTTATCAGAACCCGAAAGCTTTCACAGATTTTTCCATTTTCCCTCTATACTCACAAATATAAAAGTCTTCTGATTAAGTCACATTACAATAATTATACTCCACGGTGAGAACAGATTATTTTCAACCAGCAACACCACAATATTTTCCATAACCTCCCCAAGTTTAGCATCATCATTTTGAAACGTCCAGTATTTAATGTGAATGGTGTATGGGTATTCATCATAATTCGGCATCTATATCTCTGTAAATATTCGGATTCAGGTCTCGTTTACTTTAGAAATGAATGGATTTTCTAACCTAAAAGCTCTCGTGAGGAAATTTTAGGTGAAATAGTATCGTGATTTCTCTCTGTGAATTGATCGGGGAGGACACATCATTCAACGCCCCCGATGTACGTATACTGAACTGATTTGCATAAAATATCAGCAACTCTATTTCAGAAACTATCATTAGATTTCCGTGTATGCCGAAAAATTATGTCAACCGTGATCGTGATTGAAAAAAAGGAAGGAAATTATCGGTTAGCGCGGGGTTTTCAGCTTTAATTTTAATCACGTTTGCTGTGACGTCAAATTATAACTGCACCGTTTTCCTCCATAGCTCTATGTAGGCAGCAGTTTTATTTGCATGCATTTTTTTCCACTGATAAATCCCTATAAAAGGTGATACAGTGGCAAGTGCCATACATTGAAGGGCTCTTAGACAAAGCTAAAATTATGAGTTCAAATGATCGTTTGTCTGAAAATGTATTTTAGCTGAAATATAGGGCGTTGAAGTGTCGGCAGACGGAACGATTTTTTCATTCAATCTTTCCACAGAATGGAACAATGTTTTTGATTTTTTCTATGTGTCGTTTTTGTTTTGAAACGATCAAGCAGTGGGAAAACTGCGGGTACCTACAACGAAAGTATCCAGTGTCTTATAGATTCAAGGGTAATATATATTTTTTATCTCTTGGAGCGCACCAAAGGGAATCCCTATGATGTTCGAAGGGCGTACCTAGGAATGATAGGGAGTGGAGGTATAGGCGTTGAATTTTTTTTTGAACTTTTGGAGGTTATTAGTTGTTGGGAATACTTCCATTGGCAAAGATTTCCAGAGCTTTAACGAGTTTTGGTGAAGTGTTGTTCAACATATTTCAAGGTTGACAACGAAAGGATGTGCTGACTGGGCTGGTCGAGTTTGTCAGTGATGGAATGGAATGGAATGGAATATTAGTGAATGGTCACCAACTTTTCTACGGTGTTTCAATGATGTCAGATGATTAGTGAGTGTGGCATCACCCCCAGACGAATGGATCTTCTCTGGATGGAATCAAGGAGTATCAGCGTATGTTTGTGTGCTGAACCACATATATATGCGGGAACAGTATTCTCATACTGTGCTTTTCAGATCATGAGAAACTGTTGAGGTGTGAAGTAGATTTTGGCACTGGATAAAAATCCCAGTTTTTATGAAGCAGCTTTCGCGATGGATTTGACATGATTTCCCAACTTCCAGTTCTAGATTCACTTACCTATGATTGTTCGAATCTAACTCTAGCATTAATTCTTAGTTCTCATCAATATTTTTGATAGCATTTTGATTTTAATCTAATTTTGAATTCTATGTGTACCTTTATTGCGAGAATTATTCATTTGACTAACAAAATTAGTTGATTCTTTCAAATTTATTAGAATACAGTTTTGATTTTTTCTCGAAAAGGGTACATCTTATCAAGATTCTCTACAGGTATGCTTTTTTCGTTGCAATTAAGTCTGGTTATCGGAATACCTATTAAGAAGGAAAAATTCCGAGAAAAAGACTCATACAGTTTTTTCTGTGGGACAAAAAAATCTAAGCCACTGGGTGCATCCGTTTTACTCGGAATTTTTGAAGTGCCTACCCATTATTGAAACGACCTACAGTGAGAATCAGAATCATTGGTCCTCCGCGTCTCGTATGAAAACAATCTATTTAAGCTGTATATCCTTAATTTCATCAATTCCAGAACGCACCCTGTATGTAGTCTTCTATTATGAAAAAATACCCATGCCGTGTATATGCCTTCATGTATCTATTTACATATTTCATTGTCATCTTAACAAAATTATGAAAATTCCACTTCTTCTCACCTTGGCTTCTGCATACATAATATTCCAAACAAACAACACAGTATTTCAATCACAAACCTAATCAACAATGAACCGTTTTCTAATGTTAATGGCTATACAGAATTTGAATGCCGCAGAATAGTAATGACCAGTGGACGATGGAAAACACAAGATTCCAAGATCTCATGAAATAGAAGCTCCGCATACAATTCCGGTTGGGATTTTACCGATACCAGCTTACCAGAAGTTGCCGATACGGCAAAACAGTGGCAAACAACACGCTGCCTCAGCGTCAAGACACACTGCCAACATTTGCCACTAGTATTATGTAATACCACAAGAAGTGATACTATATATTCTGCCGGAAATATTCGTCGATTGTGACGACAGCTTATTGCTTAGTAATTTCGTATGTGGCATTGTTTACCAAAACTATCGAGCCGTAGGTGAGTAGTATTGGAACAATGTCATGCGCAAATTTGAGTTGTTTTTTCTTGTTGATCCGTGTTCAAGATTGATTTCGAA